AAACAATAAAATAAGCAAGGAAAAAATCAAAGTAGAATAAGCCTATTAAGAGATAGGAGGATGCTTAACTCATTGGTTTTCAACATATATATGGTGTTCATTTTCAGTTATTTATGGCCAGTTTATCTAGTGTAGTTTCCCATGAGTGATGAGCGTGTCAGTGTTCTAATGGTAAGGTCATTTTTCAGTTATCTGTGTATGTGATTGGTTGATTAATTTATGAACTCTGTCATGCTGGATAGTAGGAATTTTCTAGGTTTCTGACATATAAGAAAATTACTCTTAACTTTTTCTTCTGTCAGTTTTGTTTTTGAGGCTGGTTCTCCCTATAGCCCCAGCTGGCCTGGAACAAGCTATGTAGATCCACCTATCTCTGTCTATTGAATGCTAGGGACAAAGGCATATGCTACCATGCCTGGCACATCAGTATTTTTTACTGAGAAGACCATAAAATAATTCATGACACTCTGAAAGTTTGATTTTTTAGAAATCATTAGCTCGGCTGGGCGTGGTGGCACACGCCTTTAATCCCAGCACCTGGGAAGCAAAAGCAGGTGGATCTCTGTGAGTTCAAGGCCAGCCTGGTCTACATAGCGAGTTCCAGGACAGCTGGGGCTGCAGGGAGACCCTGTCTCAAAAAGACCAAAAAAAAAAAAAAATCATTAGCTTGTTTGGCCATCTGGTTATAGATTGACCTAATATAATGTCAGCTCTTGACCAGATATTTGTCAAAAATTAGAGAAATGTGTATTTTAATCTATTTGTGTTTAAAGAAAGATGAACCAAATAGGAATACAAACATGATTTTACATTACCACAGATAGGCTATTGCTGTTTGATAGAAGTTTTAAGGAAACAGCAATACAAATTGACTCTGAAGAAGAAAATTTTTAGGTCTAAATGACTATCATTGGTCTTATGTGAAATTATCTGCAGCATAGTAATTTGGACTGACATTGGGAGGCCTAGATTCTATTCTTTGCAGTGCCTTGTCCTACTGTGTAACTGTAAGCAAGTCACTACCTTTGTGAGAGTCTCCTAACCTGATGGTGAAGTATCCTACTCACTGTCAAAGCCATGTGCAGTGAGGTGATGTGACTGAAATTTGGGGGCCATGCTAGTGTGCTGTGGTTGACACATGAGTTATTTTTGTCTTCTAAAGGATTGTTTCTGTGTAGCCATGCTAGGCAAGTTCTCTACTACTGAACTACCTCCTCAGCCCCCTTAGTCATTAAACATTATTTTGTATACTACTAGAAAATCTGTTGTCAGTCTGAGGGTGTAACTTAGTGGTAGCGTACTTGCTTAGCATGCCTGAGACCCCAGGTTTGACCCCCAGCATAAAAAGCAAACCAAATCTGCTATCAGCAGTTAGAATGGCAAGTAAGAGAATGCAGAGCACAGCATAGCTGTGTTTATACTCCAAAGTTTACTGTGCTAAAGCATGTTGTGTTGGAATGGAAGAAGAAAGGTAAACTTAAGTATGGTGTGCATGTGTGCAATCCCAATACTTTGGAGGCTGAGGCAGGAATTTCAAGAATTCAAGAACAGCCTGGATCATAGAGTAAAACCTTCTGAAAAAGAAAAAGAAGGGGAGGGATGGTCGGGGAAGCAAACCAGACCTGATTAGATAAAACAAAGACAAGGAAGATGGCTGCTTTTTCTTCTGCATCTTAGTATTGTTTGTTTTTCCCCCCACAATTTTCTAGGCAAAGGGTGTATACAGCAGCTAGCTGAGAACACCAGGTACTTCAGAAGACGCCTCAAGGAAATGGGATTCATCATTTATGGAAATGAAGATTCTCCAGTGGTGCCTTTGATGCTCTACATGCCAGCCAAAATTGGGTACGCTGTGTCAAAGGTCACAGACTGCTCTGTTATTAGACTTAAGGCATTTTCAATATAAGATTAGGTATATATTTTGTTAGGGAACTTTGTCTTAGCTTCATGTTGACTTTGATCTGCTAGATAATGCTATAGCTGACATAGTGGGTTCCACATTGCAAGGCATGGTGACTTGTTATTTCATTAAGCTAACATTTGAGTTTGAGGTGCTCTTCCCAGTGCTTAAGGTAGATCAGTAGACAACACACAAATATCCCTGTCCTTGTGGAACTTATATTCTATGTGGGCAAGGGTTAGGTGACCATAATAAAGTACATTGTGTACTGTTAGTGCTGTGTGTGGGGATTAAGAGTGCCCATGAATGAAATAGACTTTCAGGGAAAGCCTCGTAGGAAGGGAAGATGGAGTCCAAGCAAAAGCTTGAAGGAGCTGACAGCCAGGCCTTTAGAGACAGCATTTGTGCAGAGGCCATGTGTGGAACTGCTTAGAAGACGAAGTGCTGGCCACATGCTATTGTACCTGGAGGACAAGACTCAGGTGGAGCAGCAGTACATCAGGTCACAGGGACTGCAAGAGGGCATATTACCTGGTGTTTACCAGAAGCTTATGGTGCCAGCTTCTTTGGCATTTATAATAGAGGGCCTCACCCGCAATAGCTTTCACTGTAGTTGAGAAATCTAGATGCACAGTGAAACCAAAGGACATTTGAAAACCAAACAACCAATAACTATATTGAATAATTATAACCTAAGAAATACAAGGATGTGCAAAATTGCACTGGAGCTGTAGAAGAAAGGAGTGATCTGCTTGCTTAGTGTAAGTTTAGTAAAAAAGGCTCATCATTTTGTTCTTGTTCTTTGTTTATTTGGTTTTTGTTTTGTTTTGCTTTTTATGAGGCAAGGTCTTGCTGTGTTGTCCAGGCTGGTTTCCATCTCTTGGACTCATGCAGTCATCCTGCCTCAGCCTCCTGAAGGCACATATATTTTTTAATATTTTTATTTTATGTGTATGAGTGTATTGCCCGCATGTGTGAAAGTGTGCCTGTGTTGTGTAATGTCTTCAGAGGCCAGAAGAGGGCATTAGATTCCCTTAGAACTGGAGTTACAGATGATTGTTAACTGCCATGTGGATACTGGGAATCAAACCCAGGTCCTCTGCAAAAGCAGCCAGTACTCTTAACCACTGAACCATCTCTCCAAACATCTATATCTTTTCCTTTTTGATCATTTTGAGACAGGGTCCCTCAGTAACTCCAGCTGGCCTGGCACTTGCTAGTAGACCAGCTGGCCTCAATCTCACAGAGATCTGCCTGCCTCTGCTCCCACATGCTGGTGGGACTAAAGGTATGTGCCACCACACCCAGCTTTGATGGATAAATTTTAAGCAGTATATTAAGCTGTGAAATTTAAGCTGTATCTTAATTAAACAAGACACATAAGGTTTGCTCAGACTCATTAAGGAAGAAAATTTCTTGTTGACCCCAGTGCCCACCATAGTTCTAGACACTCACTAAATGATTATTGAAATAAGTATGAGAGACACGGTTAAATCAGGAAGCCCTTAGATATCATCATAGGTGTCCCCAAAGATAGAAATAAATAGGTAAAGAAATAGAGAGGAGGTGTCCACTGAGGCAAAAAGGGTTTGGTTTTCACCACAGTTATGAGGTAATTGTGAGGTTTGTCTTCATAATTTCAGTAATGAAGAAAACCTGACAATAACCCTAAAGAGTTAGCAGATCTGCATGACTCAGTCAAGACCCATTCTTCAGAGAGGAGTGTTTGGTCTGTCTAAACAGGTGAAACTGAACTTGTACATTGTAGTTAAGTGAAGTATAGGGAGTCGGGAACAGCACTTGCAGTTTGGGAGTGGGAGCTGTAGTGTGAGGGCTCAGGCTCATCCCAAGTAAGCCTAGAGGTGTACTCAGGAGGAAGGGTGCACTGGAACTGGAGAGTGAGAAGAGGTTACTTTTTTTTTTCTTTTGAGACAGGATCTTTCTGTAGCCCCAGCTGACCTGGAACTCGCTATGTAGACCAGGCTGGCCTTGAACTCACAAAGATCCGGCCTGCCTCTGCCTCCCCAGTTCTGGCATTAAAGGCGTGCGCCACCACGCCCAGCAGAGGTTGCATTTGTGTGTTGCTATATGTGCAGAATTTTTTCCCCAAGTGCTGTAAACAAATTAAGGGGAAAAATAAAAAGAATAAGGAAGGCCAACAGGATGATAAGACATAACACAGCATAATTTGGTAAAGCCAAACAGAAGTTAGAATTTTGTTTTTTAGGTAAAATTCAGGCTAGCTGGGGCAACATGGCTGTGAGCAAGTATTGTGGGGGTCTTTGTTTCTAGCTGGCCTGTAGAGCCCAAAGCAGCCTGTATCCCAAAGGCAGCATCAAGTAAGACAAAGAAACGCCTGGTCTAGAGGGCCAGTTTCATTCAACCAGTCTGTTTACAGAAAAATGTACAGACCACAGCAAATCCCTTCTTCACAATCTTACCAACTTTTTACACTGCAAAACTTACATTTTCAGGGCCAAGTCTTTTGGGGTTTAAGATAAAATTTTTTGTTTATTTTTTTTAAATGTGTATGAGTGTTTTGCCTGCATGTATGTAAATGTACCCATGCATGTAATGCCCACAGAGACCAGAGAGTGTGTCATATCCACTGTAACTTGAGTTATAGATGGTTGTTAACCACCATGTACGTTCTGAGAACTGAACACAGGCCCTCCGCAACAGCAGTCAGTGCTCTTAACCACTGAGTCATCTCTCTGGCCCCAAGAACCAAGTTTGAGTTTTGAGGGGGCTTTTTGAAACAGGGTCTCCTTGTGGCCCCAGCTAGCCTGGATCTCCCTATGTATACCAGGCTGGCCTTGAATTTACAGAGATCTGCCTGCCTCTGCCTGGCAAGTTCTGGGATTAAAGGTGTACACCACCACACTGGACAAATGACCAAGTTCATTTTGATGAAATCTCAACCACTATTACATTTCAGGCACCGGCTTTTGCTCAAAGCAAATCCTATCAGAACTAGTCTTTGTCAATTACTCTTTCAACTTTGTGAAGGAAAGACTGAGTAAATGGAGTTTCTTGTGAATTGTCAGGATTTTTAAATTTTTTTAATTTTGAGACACAGTCTCCCTGTAGTCCTAGCTAGCCTGGAACTTGCTATGTAAACCAGGCTGGCCTGGAACTCACAGAGATCCACCTGCCTCCGCCTGAACTGTCAGTTTGAAGTCTAAGGCTGCATCACCAAAAATTTAACTGATTTAGGCCTGCAAAACCTTGTACCATGCACTTTATTATACTTCTTGGTTTCTTTTCCTCGGTTTACCCTTTATAGCGCCTTTGGTCGGGAGATGCTGAAGCGGAACATTGGTGTAGTTGTGGTGGGATTTCCTGCTACCCCAATCATTGAGTCCAGAGCCAGGTTTTGCCTGTCAGCAGCTCATACCAAAGAAATACTTGACACGGTAAGTAGACAACTTTCACCTTGGAATAAGTGCCTTATGCTAAAAGGAACTGTATGTCAGGTGAAATTAATCATTATTCATCCTGATGTCCTTCAAGTACCTAAGATACTTACTGGTAAGACAGTTGGACACAGTGCTATTTAAAACTGCTATTTAAAAAAAAAAAAACTTGCAGAGACCAGAGAGATCGCTCAGGTTAAGAGCACTAGTTGCTCTTGCAGAGGACCTGCGTTCAGTTCCCAGCACCCACATGGCAGCTAACAGTCATCTGTAACTCCAGTTTCAGCGGATCTGACACCCTCTTCTGGCCTCTGTGGGCATTGCACACACAGGTGTACTTATATACATGCAAACAAAATACTCATACAGATCAAAAAATATTTTAATTACAAGATTTTTAGCATCATCCACCAAATCTAGCCCAGAGTTTTGGAGATCTAGCTTTGTTTGTTGTTGATATTTTGAACAGGTCTTGCTAAATAGTCAGGTTGCCCTGGAACTCAGTGTATAGCCCACACTAACTTGGAACTCCTCCTGTCTTGGGTCGTGGGCTAGGATTGTAGGCATGGGCCACTGTACTCAGCTCTGGGTTCATCTTGGACCATTGTCTCCTCCTGATGGACTCTGAAGCTGACAGTTCTCTTCTAGTCCAGCTGTTTCTAACCCCAGTGGTCTATTGGTGTTACACTTAGAGAAATTTCTCTCTTAAGCCTTCTTTCCTCCTTGTCTGGATGATGCACATGGGTCACATCTCTACCTAAAGGAAACTTGTTCTGCTCTAGCTGGGTGTTCCTTGGCATCCTAAGATTCCCCCTTAGTATGTCGTTTGTGCTGATAATAGCTTTTGGTGTGGTTTTGTGCTGGCTTTTTTAGTTTTAAGAGGGGGAGTGTTGTTTTGCTTTTTATTTTTGTTTGTTTGAGACAGGGTCTCAATATATAGCTATAGCTGGTCTAGAACTCACTATCTAGACCATGCAGGCTTCCAACTCACAGAGATTCATCTGTCTCTACCTAAGAACTGGGATTATAGGCATGTGGCACCATACCTGGCTAACATCTAATAATTTTAAAGAATATAATAAATGACTATTTTTAAATTTTATTATACTATTTGATTGGCATTTTATGTTTCTGAACAGCTGAAGACTTTTGTCCTCTCTTCCCTAATTCATACACATAAAATAAAAATAAATGATGTTTTTTAACTCTTTCTAAAAAAATAATATATTCCCAGGGCCAGAGAGATTGCTCGGTGGTTACGAACACTGGTGACCTTACAAAGAACCTGGGTTAGCACCCACATAACTGCTAACAACTGTCCAGAACTCTTAACACCCTCTTCTGGCCTCCATGGGCATCGTAGGCACTAACATAGATACAGGCAAAACACTCATGGACATATAATAAAAACAAATAAAAATTTTAAGTAAATTAAAAAATATATATATCCCTTAGAGGGGCATGGTAATGCATGCTTATAATCTCAGCATTTAGGAGGATTGCAGGCTTGAGGCCAGCCCAGGATACATAACAAAACCCTCTCAATAAAATAAGAAAACAGCTATTCCTTTCTTTTAAAAATAATTTTTTAAATTTTTATTTTATGTGTATGTGTGTATTGCCTGCATGTAGGTAGGTGCACCCATGTTGTGCAGTGCCTGCAGAGGTTAGAAGAGGCTGTTGTATCCCCTGGGACTGGAATTACAGACAGTTGTTAGCTGCCATGTGGGTTGGGTGCTGGTATTCACACCCGGGTCTTCTGCAAAAACAGCCAGTGTTCTTAACTGCTGAGCCATCTCTCCAGCCCCATCTTTTTCTTTTTTTTTTTTTTTTTTTTTTTTTTTGGTCTTTTTGAGACAGGGTCTCCCTGTAGCCCCAGCTGTCCTTGAACTCACAGAGATACGCCTGCCTCTGCCTCCTGAGTGCTGGGATTAAAGACGTGTGCCACCACGCCCCGCCCTCCAGCTCCATCTTTTAAAAAAAAAAATTTAAGTGCACAATACAGAACTCCAGAGTTGTTCCGAGCATGTTCTTTTCACATGCTGACAGTTCCTAATTGGATCCAGTTTATTGCTACCATTTCTTTTTGTTTTGTTTGTTGTTTATTGTTGTTGTTTGCTTTTATTTTTTGAGACAGTGTCTCCTTGTAGCCCCAGCTTAGAACTCGTTATGTGTACCAGGCTGGCCTCAATCTCACTGAGTCCTGCCTGCCTCTCCCTTCCCAGTGCTAGGATTAAAGGTATGCACCACCACACCTGGCTTCCACTTAGTTTTTGAAGAATAAAGTGCTTGGGGCTGGAGAGATGACTCAGCGGCTAAGAGTACTACTATCTGCTCTAGCAGAGGACCCAGGTTCAAATCTCAGCACCCACACAGCGGCTAACAACTGTCCATAACTCCAGTTCCAGGGGATCCACTGCCTTCTTCTGACCACCATAGGTATTGTACAACATGGGTACACTTGCACACATAATAAAAATATTTTTAAAATTAAAAAAATAAAGTGCTATTTTTATGTATAGGAATGTTTTCCCAAATGATGTATGTGTACCACATGAATGCCTGGTTCCCACAGAGGCCAGAAAAGGGCATCAGATCCCCTGGAACTGGAAGTACAGACCTTTGTGATCCACCATGTGGGTACAGGAAACCAAACCCATGTCCCCTGCAAGAGCAGCAACTTACCTTAGCTGCTGAACTATCTCCCCAGCCCCAGTCATGTACACTTTCATTTTAAATTTACAAATCCTATGTTAGCCAGCAGGGGAATAAACAGTTAATGGAGTCTCCCGCCTAAAATTCAGACTTAAAACTATTTCCATGTGGAGTTTTCAGTTAATCCTCTCCTCAGATGCCACTGTTCTGATAGCAGGTAGAGTACAACTCCCACTTGCTTTTTTATTTTTCCTATTTTGGAATAGAGAATATTTTTTCCCTTTTTTTCCCTTTTTTTGATCTTTTTGAGACAAGGTTTCCCTGTAGCCCCAGCTGGCCTGGCACTTGATTTGTAGACCAGATTGGCCTTGAACTCAACAGAGATCTGCCTGCCTCTCTTCCTCCCTAGTGCTGGAATTAAAGGCATGCACCACCAGGCCCATCAAGAGAGAATATTTTTTTCTTATGCTAAAATACAAAAGGAATGTACTACTGGTGCTTTTTGTTGTAAAGAATGGTAAATTCGTCTTCATATTGGTACTCAGTTCTAAAATATAAGCTATATTTTCAAAAGAAGATATTTCTCTTTTAAAAAAAAAAACATTTTACTGCATTTATTTATTTATTGTGGGTGTGGTGTGTGCATAGAAAGATCAGAGGACAACTTGCAGGAGTTGATTCCGTCCTTCCACATAGATCCCTGGGGATCGAATTCGGTTGTCAGCCTTACTGGCTAAGCCGTCTCACCAACCATATGGACATTTTCATACAGAATCACAGATAATAGCCACAGGCAGCCTGTTCCCTTTCTGACCAAGTACACTACACTTTGAAGAGTTGCAGCCCCTTTTCATGGTCAGCCTGAGCCCTTGTTCAGGAGCTGCTCTTCTTAATGCTGTAGATCATCTCACCTTAGTGCTTGCATTCAGCCTATGCCCACCAGCAGATGACCTTGCCACTATGGTTTCAGCCCAGTTAAGCATTTGGGTGTGACTGTAGCCTACTGGCCCTGGCTGATCTCTGCTGTTTCTGTGTTTTAGGCTTTGAAGGAGATAGATGAAGTTGGGGACCTGTTGCAGCTGAAGTATTCCCGTCATCGGTTGGTGCCTCTCTTGGACAGGCCCTTTGATGAGACTACCTATGAGGAGACAGAAGACTGAGCCTTTCTGGTGCTCCCTAGATGGGGGACTCTCCCACCCAGGATAGTGTGTGGCCTTTCTGAGCCAGTCCCAGGAACCACACTTCAGTGACCACCTCATGTGAAAGACATTTCTTCAGCTACTGAAGGTGGCCACCTCCACTCCAAATGGCATTTTGTAAATAGTAAAACACAACAAAACTGCTTCACATTTTTCGTTTGCTGTCTCACCTTTTAAAGTGATTACTTTGTCCATTAAAAATGTTTATTTTATAACTCTTCTACTTGTGAAATCATGCTGACCCTTGCCTGTCTGGCTAACCACACAGGCATCCCTGACTCCAGCCCTTCATGGGCTTGGGTCTATCAAGAGTTACTACTGGCCCTGGCTCTTCAGCCTCGAGACTCACCGGCCCTCTCCCTAGGGAGCAAGTGCCTTCCACTTACTTCCCATCCAGGTCTCGGAGGTTGCCTACCTTGAATCTTTATTTAACCAGTCAAGTTAACCAAAGTATTCTCTTTTAGACTTAAGTTTAGCCTTTTAAGAAAAATTACTAAATGATAACAATACTTAAGGACTTACTGTGTGACTTCCCCTGGCTAAGGACCTTTTTTTTTTTTTTGGTTCTGGTCACCAAATGATTTATTCACTGTCAAATACTTGTTCATATGATCACAGACTGAAGATATGTCCAAATTGTAGGTTCTTCCCAAGGTCTAACCCTAACACATCCCACCTCCTACTTGAAATACTAGGCATTTTAGAAGCACCTACCTCCCACCTTGGTCCAAACTTGGTGAAGATGACTCATGTGTCACTCTAAACTGTTCTGTGTGTAAAGCTGTTCTATAAGCGGCAGGCAGCCTGGTGGGGTGAGAGGCAGGGGCAGTGGAGAGAATTAAGGTCTTATGGAACGTATGAGGTTGAGTTTCTTCCTGCTAATTTCTACATTTCAAAATTGTAACAGCTTCTGGCTGGTTCTGGGTCCAGATTAGGAATGGGCCTGATAAAGGAAAAGTTTAGTGGGTCCTTTCTTTGTTCAAAATCATGTTCCCATTTCATCATAAATGGCATTAACTTTTCCTTTTAGATGCTGACTCACTTAAAAGTACTCTTCCAAATGCTAGATTCTCTGTGTCCTAAGGCAGTTTTAACCTGGTATCCATTATACATTATTTTCTTTGAGAAATTCTGATTGCATGCCTCTTTCCTAAACTGGAATATCCTCTGTTTTGGCTCTGTTTTCATACCAGCACCAGGTAAGGGAACTTCTTCCAAAGAGCTTTATACTGCTTGACCAAAGAACACATCTGAAGATCACCATTTTAAAGTCCTTGTTTTTATCTTTTGACCAAAGTTTAAATGAAGAGAACTTTTGGCGGCTTTATTGTACCCAAGATGAACTTGTTTAATAATGATCACATATTATAGGGGAAGGTTTGGAAACAGAAGGACATGGGTATGAAAGTAGGTTTTGTACACCACTTTTAAAATTATTTTTATTGGTAAAGATAACCAAATTCTCCTGGGCATCTTACCAGCTGCAGGTATGTGGAGTGGGAAGTGTCAGGAGTGTTGTTGGTGGAGTTCTGTTTTCATGCCCTGGGTCTGTTCTCTTTGGTCCCTCTTGCCATCTGAGATCTTTAAGCCCTTGAGATATTCTAAGGTTTTATATCACATTTTAAATAGAAAAGGGTAAATAAAAGAGGCAAGAAAGGACTATTTTTAGCATGTACCAGTTAAGTTAAAAAAGAGACAGGTCACCAGATGTGGTTGTACACGCCTCTCTTCCCAGCACTCAGGAGGCAGAGGCAGGCAGATCTGTGAGTTAAAAGCCAGCCTGGTCTACATAGTGAGTTCCAGGCCGGCTGGGGCTACAGGGAGACCCTGTCTCAAAAAGACCAAAAAAAAAAAAAAAGGAGATTAGGCAACTAAGTCCTTTAAAGCTCAAACACATTGCTCACTCTTCATTTTGTGGAATCCCGTAGAATACCTAGTAGCTTTTGCACTGCAGTTAGTATTTAGTGATTAGGTGTAGGGCTTGCAAAAGTCACAAACTTTAAGCTGTGAATGTACCTGCTAGTCTTTTTTTAAATTTTGGCTTACATGAAGTCACTCCAAATTCAAATGTCAATATAGGCATTTAAATTTTTGTATGTATCACTTTGTTGTTGCAAAGTCATTCAGGGTAAATGTAATTAAGTTACAAGTTTATTTTGAAGAGACAAAATTCCTGTGATCTATCCAGGACCTCTACTTTAGAGGACAAAATGGTTTATACACATTATATGTGACTGGTTTTTCATGAACCTGTAATAGAAATTTCCGATCCAGTCATACCATAGATAACACTATCCAAGTTCTTGGAGAAATACAAGTGTATATAAGTCTAGTATTTGAGAATAAGTAGACATCTGGGCCAAACAAATACTGTTTAGTACATAGCCTGAAGAGGTTCAAACAGGTCTAAGTCAGCCATCATTACCAAAGCTGATGGTCTGAGTCAAGTCTGCAGAGGTACCTACGTTCATCTCACCACTTGCCCTCTCCCATCTTCCATTTCGCATTGCCCTTACTTATTCAGTCTTTAAGACCTGTTTCAGAGAGCACAGAAACCTAGGAGACATGAAAATCATACACAGAATGTGGCTCGAGGGGTAGTGGCAGTGTCTCCTCCTCTTCAGAAGCTTTAACCTAGCAGGACAAGGACTTAGGGAGCACTTTCTACAACTTTTTGCTTAAAAAAAAAAAAAAAAAAGATTCTAGTCTACTCTTTTAAAGAGTCTTCAAGCCTTTGTTCACTATTTTAAACTCTTCTGATCTAGAGAGGGTTTCAAAACAAGCTTCTTCCTTGAGTTGTCATAGAAAACAGACATCCTACACAAACGCTACTGGCCTCATGCTCGCCCCCTGCCCCTTTCAAAGGCTGAGGAATTGAGCATCCTCCCAGTGATTTGTCCCTGTAATTCTACGCTTGGCCTTGTATCTTTTGCCTCTTGATAGAATTCCATCTCCAGAGAAAACTGGCATATGGTGGTGCTGGGGTTTGGGGATCTGTAGAGCAGACAGCATGTTCCTTGAACAATCTCTCTCTCTCTCTCTCTCTCTCTCTCTCTCTCTCTCTCTCTCTCTCTCCCTCCCTCCCTCTCCCTCTCTCCCTCTCTCCCTCTCTCCTTGCCTACCTACCTACCTACCGTGTTTCAGGGAGAGGCAGAGAACTTTATTTCTTCCTTTTTTAAATTTTAAATTTTTTAAAAATTTTAAATGGCATGATGCATCTAGAATACCCGGCATAATATACTTTCCTTACTATCTATGAGTAGAAACCAGAAGGATGACTTAGATTTTCTGACCTCTTGAACAAAGAAAGATGATATCTACTAGCACCTCCCTGTTTTTCCAAATCACTGAAGAATGAGAATCTGCCTAATTGTAGCATTCTGTCAAAAATCACCTAAAGATAACTACAGCTGTTGTCCTGTGTAAACAATTATGTGCCAGGTGTGGTGGTGCATACGCCCAATCCCAACAACTCAGGAGGCTGAGGCAGGAGGGTCTTCTAGAATTCTATTATAGAACGAGACCCTTTCTCACCTAAAATAAATAATAGGGGCTTAGATGGCTATGACCTGATTCCCAGGTGCCCTTTCTCGCCTAATGTAAGTCACATGGGTTTTCATGTCTGCTTCAAACATGGAGTTAGAAAAAGGGAAAGTGCTGATTTTTCTTTTTACCTATACTCAAGGAATGCCTAGTGTTTCTTACAGGTAATATCATCTTAGCCTGAGGCTGTGAAGGAGGTGGTTATGAAAGTCAAGGATTCTTCTAGGCTGCTTAGCTCAGAATCTATAGGTCTTAGGGTTAGTTTTTTTTTTTTTCCAGTCCCAGAACCTATAGATAGATACACTGCAACCTGCTTAACACAGAAGCTTGGTGCCCAGCAGGCATCTTAATCCATTAAACCAGCTAATCAAAATACCTTCCATGTGGAGAAAAAAAGCCTGTCCCTTCCTCTCCTCTGCCTTATCCACATGAAATGTATGCTTGGGCTTCTAGCCAATTGCCATGTGTCCAACCTAGTGGCTGGTTTCCTCCATTATCAGAGAAATGCTAAGATCACCAGTGATCCCTTGCCCTGTATACAAAATGCCATATTGCTCCTTTTATAGTTTCCAATGACTTTTGTTTCCCAAGCAGCTTTTTGCTGTGGATTGAAGTTTTTCTGGGGAGGAAACATAAGGAACTTGCATAAGCCAATCATGAAAATGATCATTCTAGTCGCTGATGAGTCTGGAGGTTTCACATTCACAATTTACCCTTAGGAGCAGCTAGGTGGGGAAAGCTGTGAACAAGATTGTGTTTACTCTGCAGGACTCATGATAATGGCCTTAAGATGTTATTCTTTCTGGTATGATGAATTATAAACTGACCCTAAAGAATGCGATGGCTTTTACTCTGCAGTTACTGTGTTGTTAATGAAGCAATACCTGAAGCTCCATCGTTTGGGAGCAGTTGTGGGGAGACTGAATGAAAGGTACACACAAGCACAATACTTAATGTGCTTTCAAAGTGTGTGATCTTTCTGTGTGCAGGAAGACTTGCACTGATTCAAAGTTCAGCACAATTTCCAGGTTTCTTATGTAAAACCTGGTTGTTTGGCATAGGCCTTCCAAGAGAGTGGGGGATATACCACCCAAAAGAGAGGACTTGTAGTTTATCTTCCCCTTTAACATTGTCACCTCTGGACTGTTTAGCCACTGGTTGAAGTTATTGAAAGCCTCTTTATTGGTTCTTCAAAGGACATGGGAAAGTCAGCCTGCGTGCCCACAGTCTTGATGACCCCTCTGTGTATAAAGGCAGCTATCAAGGGGAAGGGGGAGAGATGGGAGAGCAGTGCTTTTGGGTGAGCTGAGCATTAGGGTGGTCCTGTGGGTTCATGTTTTTCCACTGACCAAGTTACTGTAAATTGGAATCTACAAGGTATACTGTAATGCTAATCCTGTCCATTGTTGTAATGTTCTTATCACTTGGGAAAGAGAGAAGTGTAAATAAAAATTTTTTAATTTTGGTAACATCTTATAAATGTCACTCTTCCTTACCTTTCTCCCTCTTGGCCAAATGATGACTTTAAGGGTTTTTTTTTTTTTAAGTTCATTTTATATTGGACGACTGTGAGGTTATACAAAGTGGGTTGTGGGTGGTATCAGTGTTGAGAGTGGGTATTAAGAATTAAAGGGGATCTACTTGAGATGAATCATCCCATGCAAATACTGTTTCGCCCTAATAAAATGTTCAGAAATAGATATCTTCCTTTATTCATTCAGCTAATAAATACCAGATACTCCCTACTTGTCTGTCAGCAAGTGAACAGACAGGTGGGGCTACTACTGGAGCAAGCATGTAAACACACTGTTTTACAGATCGTTGAGGGCTAGCGCAGAGAAGCCAAGTGATGGAGATTAGACCCAGTGTCTGGTTTAGATAGGCAACAGCAAACTTGTGTAGGGAAGTGGAAGATCTGAAAGGTTTCAGTAAAGGAAAACCTCAGGAAACGGGCAGGAGGATCATGGCAAGTTTGAGGGGAGGAGGACCTCAACAAGGTTAGAGAGGCCAGCCAGCTATGCTGTGTGCTAGCTTTGCAGGCAGGAGTGAAGTGTTTGTCTGGTGGGGAAATCAGTGAAAACATTTTGTTTAAAATATTTTTTACATGTATTTTGTGTGTGTGTGCACACATTTCCACATGCCACAGCACACATGGGGTCAGAGGATGAGTTGCAGGAGTCTGTTCTCCCCTTCCACCATATGGGATCCTGGGATTGAACTCAGGCCATCAGGCTCAGCAGCAAGTGCCATTAACTGACTGAGCCATCTTAATGGTGGGGAAAAAAGTATTAAAAAAAAATAACATGCTTTTTTGGAACATCGACAAGATGACACAATTTATATATGAATATAAAGGATCTGGAGTAGTGTAAACAATTTTGAAAAAGAACTTACTGCCTGAAGTCTTTCTGTAAAGCTGCAGTAATCATGACAGGATGCTTCTGACATTGGGTGAACCTGTGGATACTAAAACTGAATACAGTCCAGAAACAGAATCACATGTAATACGGTCACTTGATTGAACAAAGGTTCCAAGGTATTTCATTGAGGAAAATAGATTACTGAAACTAGTGGTATTGGAGAAACTCAATAGCCACATGGGAAAGAACATCATCTTCAGCTCTCCTATAATTAAGTCAAAATATAGATCTAAATATGAAAATGACAGGATTGAGGAAGTAAATCAGTGGCACAGTGTATGTTTAGCATATGCAAGTCCCTGGCATTGAAAAAACAAACACCTCAGGAATGTAGAAGAAAATTGAAAAGCTGAGTCAGGTTAGGCCATGGCATTCTCTGGAAAGAAAGCGTAACTAAAAGGCATGATGCACATGTCTTTAGTTCCAACACTTGGGAGAAAGAGGCAGGTGGATCTCTGTGAGACAGGACAGCATGGTCTACACAAGTTCAGAAAGATGATTCAGTGGGTAAAAGCACCTTGCTACCAAGCCTGATGACCTGAGTTCAATCTGCTAGGACCCACATAGTAGGAGAGAACTGATTCTCACAAGTTGTCCTCTGACCACATGTGATGCACACACACACACACATACACAGAGTAAATAAATGTGATTTTTAAAAAGTCGATGCGGGACACACTTTTAATCCCAGCACTCAGGAGGCAGAGGAAGGCTGATCTCTGTGAGTTCAAGGCCAGCCAGCTATACAGTGAGACCCTGTTTCAAAAAATAATTTAGTCTGTGGCTGTAACTCAGTGGTAGAACTCTTGCATAGCATGCACAAAGTCCTAGGTTCAATCCCCAGTACTACAGAAACTAAAATTAGGATCTAGGGATAGATCCAAGTGCTCAGTGGATAGGGCACTTGCCACCCAAGCATGAGTGCCCAAGTTTAGATCCCCAGCACATTAATGAATTCGATGAAAATAGCTGGGTGTGGTAGTTTGGGGTACGGTAGTGCACACCTTTAATCCTAGTGCTTCAGAGGCAGAAGTAAGCAGATCTCTGTGAGTTCAAGGTCAGTTTGGGCTACACAATGAGACCCTGACAAGAAAAAATACTATTTGAACTCTTCTCCAAAAAGTTTGGCAAAGGGTATGGTGGCACATGCCTGTAATTCTAGCACTTGAATTTTTTAAACTTTTTATTTTATGTGTATGAGTGTATTGCCCACCTGTATGTGAGTGCACCCATGTCGTGCAATGCAGTGCTACGGAGGTCAGAAGAGGGCTTTGGATTCTCCTGGAACTGGAGTTAAGGATGGTTTGTAGCCACCATGTGGGTGCTGGGAATCAAACCCAGGTCCTCTGCAAGAGCAGTTAGTGCTCTTAACCATTGAGCCATCTCTCCAGCCCCATTGAATTTTTTTTAAGATACTAATGATGGGGCTGGAGAGATGGTTCAGTGGTTAAGAGCACTGGCTACTCTTGCAGAAGACCTGGGTTCGGGTCCCAGCACCCACATGGTGGTTAACAACCATCTGTAACTACAGTTCCAGAGGCTATGACACCTTCTGACCTCCGAAGGCATTGCACAACACAGGTGCACTTACACATATGCAGGCAATACATTCATACATTAAATAATAAATGTAAGTAGGCACACAAAAAGATGTTCATCATTGGTTATCAAGGAAGTATACAAGAAAACAACAAAATCCCACCCTGTACTCACAATGGCTAAAATTGAAATGATTACAACATTAAACATAAGGCTGGAGCACTGGGGCTCCCATAGGTTGCTAGTGAGTACAGTCACTTGAAAAACAAATCAGCAGTGGTTTTGTTGTTCTTGTATTTATTTACCCAAGAAAAATGAACATATCCACATAGGACAGTCACAACTGCTTTATTCTAATAGGCCCAAACTGTAAACAACCCTCAAACTGTCATGCTGGATAGATACACAAATTGTAGTATGCTTAAATGACAGAATATCACCCAGCAATGTAAATACATAAATACAATTCCAGAAATACAAAATTCTAGAAGAAGCAAAACCTATGGTGATATAGTGGGATCCGTTGCTATTACCAAGGTTAGAGGGCAGTGACTGTACAAAGGGGGTTGTTAAAAGATCATTTTCAGCAGGGTGTGGTGGCACACACCTTTAATCCCAGCACTTGGGAGGCAGAGGCAGGTGGATCTCTGTGAGTTCAAAGCCAGCCTGGTCTACATAGTGAGTTTCAGGTCAGCTGGGGTTACAGGGAGACCCTGTGGCAAAAGGATCTAATAATAATAACAATAATAATTTTCAAAAAAGCATAAAAACATGATTTTTCTCACATATACAAAAAAGAACACGTGCAAAAGATCCTAACTCATTAATGAGGAAATGAGGTACTGAAAAGCAGAAATTTACAGGCGAACAATATTATAGAACATGCAAATAAAGGCAGGGCTTCTTCCACACAGGTGGTAGCCAGTTGAACTTCCCAGCACAGGACAAAATTGACTTTTCTATAGGCAAGAGTCATTCTGCTTTGCTGCTCACTACCTGCAACCTCCAGAACAATATAACTCAAAGACAGCGACAGACCAGCATCAGATCAGGTGGAAGGATGGAGGCAGGTGGATCTCTGTGAGTTCAAAGCCAGCCTGGTCTACATAGTGAGTTTCAGGTCAGCTGGGGTTACAGGGAGACCCTGTGGCAAAAGGATCTAATAATAATAACAATAATAATTTTCAAAAAAGCATAAAAACATGATTTTTCTCACATATACAAAAAAGAACACGTGCAAAAGATCCTAACTCATTAATGAGGAAATGAGGTACTGAAAAGCAGAAATTTACAGGCGAACAATATTATAGAACATGCAAATGAAGGCAGGGCTTCTTCCACACAGGTGGTAGCCAGTTGAACTTCCCAGCACAGGACAAAATTGACTTTTCTATAGGCAAGAGTCATTCTGCTTTGCTGCTCACTACCTGCAACCTCCAGAACAATATAACTCAAAGACAGCGACAGACCAGCATCAGATCAGGTGGAAGGATGGAGAGCATACTTTGGCAATGAACAATGTGGGTTTTCCACTGAGACACAATTCTTTTCTCCCTAGAGCACACAGAAAGAAATCAGTCATGGGAAAGTCCTATGTCTCGGCTACAGTGGTCACATGAATGCATAGATTTAAAATTTTTTATGACTGGGCATGGTGGTACACACTTCTAATCCCAGCACTCTGCAGAGACAAGTTGATTTCTGTGAGATCAAGCCAACTTAGTCTACATATCGAGTTCCAGGTCACCTGAGGCTACAGGGAGACCCTGACTATAAAATAAATAAATAAATATTTTTTTTTTTTTTTTTTTTTTTTTTTTTTAGGGCTAGGGCATGGTCGACATAGCCAGCTGGGGCTACAGGAGACCCTGTCTACCACTATGTGGCTTCCAGGGATGGAACTCAGGTGGTTGGTTGTTAGCAAGCACCTTTACTGGCTGAGTCATCTCACTAGCCCACATGAATGTATACATTTGTTAAAACTCACTGACCTATACAGTTAAAATAAATATATTTTATTATATGTAAACTGTACCTCAATGAGGTTGATCAAAATCAGAAAATCTAACCAGTTTCATGGCAGTGGGGGGTGAAGGAATGTGAGAATCAGAGTGGGGACAGCAGGACCTGTTAGGTTTTTAAGGTAGCCCCAGCCAGAAGGAGGGGCTTGAAGTGGAGTGATAGTGATTGACATGAAGACAGGAATGAATGATGAATGGATGGATGGATGAACTCAATATCTTTAAAGCCTGAGTCTAATCTGGTAGAAGGTGTCAAAATATGGCAAAAAGACACATTAGTGTAGATATGAAAGAAATTTTACTAACTTTTTAAATGTAATTAATTTTACGTGTATGCACATATTGCCTGCATGTAGGTAAGTGCACTGGTGTCCTGCAGTGCAATGCCGGCAGAGGAGAAAAGAGGCTGTCGGATCCAGGGTCTTCTGCAAGAACAATCAGTATTAACTGCTGAGCCATCTCTCCAGCCCCGAAATTTTACTAATTAAAAAATCTTGTGAGCCGATTGTGGTGGCACACACCTTTAATCCCAGCACTTGGGAGGCAGAGGCAGGCGGATCTTTGTGAGTTCAAGGCCAGCCTGGTCTACATAGTGAGTTCCAGGACAGCTGGGGCTACAAGGAGACCCTGTCTCAAAAAGCCAAAAAAAAAAAAAATCTTGTGGGGCTGGAGAGATTGCTGTTTTTGCAGAAGACTCGGGTTCAAATGGTTCAAATCCCAGCACCCACATAGCAGCTAACAACCGTCTGTAACTTCAGTTCCTGGGGAGCCAAGGCCCCCTTCTGTCCTCCACAGGCATTGCATGACATGGGTGCACTTATACACATGCAAGCATAACACTCATAAAATAAAAATAAATGATAAAGAGAAAAAATAAAAAGACCTTGCATAGTCTAGCAAATGCAGTGTGATTTAGCAGTTTTCAAAGCTAGGATTCTGTTGGGTAGCATATGAGTACTTACTATGGACCAGGCAGAAGTGCCTGTATCCAACCCTTTTGACCCGATCTCAGACCTAGCCTGAGACCATTCAAAGCCCTGCTGCGTCTTTGTGTCTAAGTCTGGGTCTAAGTACAGGAGTAACTTTAAACAAACTGCACAGCTCCCAAAGTTTGAAACAGACCTGAACAGCTTTGGTTGCGACTGGACTTCGTAGGCATCCTCTCTACTGCCTCCAGGGATCCACACACTGAAACCCCAGGCTTCCTCCTGCGTCTACCTCCGGTGGGCATCTCCCTGATGCATGTTCTCCCCTCTCCCTCCCACCACTGTGCTCATACACCCATTGCCCATTCCTGCTTTTTGCCACAGCTCGGGGGGTTCCAGTAGCTCAGAGGCTGGCCATTACGTTGACCCGCCTGTCCCATTGTGCAATGACACCAGCTGCAGGGCAGGTCCTCTGACCCCTCCGCTCAAGCTCGTGGCCCAGCTGTCCTAGGACTGTGGCATGTTGCCTGTGTCTCAGTCTCCTGATTCTGATAGTTCTGAGAACTGCAACGGAACCGAATGGAGGGATGGCAGTGAGGTCGGGCCCTGGTGCAGGGATGGCAGAAAATGTGGCTGCATCCTGGTGCAGCGAAGGCAGTGTGGCTGGGGTGGTCCTGGTGCGGGGATGGCATGAAATGTGGCTACATCTTGGTGCAGGCATGGCAGTGTGGCCCAGTCTGCAGCACTGTGAACTTGCAAAGCCTCGAGAGGGGCACGTCCAGCTTTCCTTCTCAAGCGAACATACCTGGTTATATTTGCCCACGTTCCGAAGACTCCTGCCGGTCGCCCACTGACCAGCCACAGCACGTCCTGGCCCCAGAGCCTGGACGCGCCGTCAGGGAGCGCGTCCGTGGCGCCACAGCCTCCCCGCCACGCAGGAGTGGCCGCGTGGGGCCGCACAGAGAACGGCAGCAACTTCCCCCCAAACAGGAATTCGCTCGGGGCCGCGACAGCAGCGGCGGCTGGGACTGAGGGCGGGGAGGCGGCCAGATCAAAGTGAGCCTCCCGCCTCAGCGGGGTCTAGTCCGTGCGGCGAGGGGCCCCTCGGGGAGGGCGGGAGACCCCGCGGGCACTGACCCAGCGCGTGGACCCAGGACCTGCCGGCTGCGCGCCCCGCGTGCGCGCCCCCGCCGCCCTCGCGAGGTCCCCCGGCCAGGCCTGTGCAGCAGCCGGCAACCCACCCCCAGCTCCCGAGCAGACCAGGGGGTGCGAGCGCGCTCCGGAGCCAGGCGGCGGCCAGCAGAGCAACCTCGGAGAGAGAGGATGCGGCCACGGCCGGGTCCAGCGCGGCTGCCGCGCGCCCTGATGTTGCTGGCCGCGCTGCTGGCCGCTGGCCGAGGGCTTCCCCTGAGGATGCTGCGGGGTCCCGGGCCCCACAGTCACGCGAGACTGGCGGAGGTGAGTGGCCAGGGCTCTGGGCCGGGACTCAGGACCTAGCCGGCCGGACGCCCCCCGGGCACCGGGCGATGGCCAGGTGCACGGAGCCACCAGAAGTCCGAATTCCCCACGAGTGGCCATGAGCCTGATCGGGCTGCACGCCCAGGCTGGAGAGGAGAAAGTTGACTTTGGTGCTTGCTCTGCAGTGGCCGGGCTTCCTGGGTCCCTCGCTCCCCTTCCCCTCTCTGAGCGAACCTCACCTGCAGCAATCCCACCTGCAGCGGTGCGGTCCTGGTGCGCGCTTCCGGGAGCGGAGCGCTGCCAGGTGGCCAGGGGAGCGTGGAGCCGTGTTGTGCTCTGCAGAGTGGGCCAGGTGATCCCGAGGAGCAGCCCCTTAATTCTAATCAGCCAAGGATTCGAGTCTCCTCCAGTGGGGATTGAGACACGCTGAGATAGGCAGTGGGGTTCTACTCCTTGCTGGATGCAAGGACATTTTCATAAGTCATTTTCACTGGGCATGTGGGTCGGTCTCAGGGCTGTAGGACAGAGAAATGAGGTGGAAGAGTGTTCTGGCTGTGTTAGAAACCATGGTCGGTCAAGTCCTGCTTCAGTCTCTGAGGTTCTGCCGTCCACCCCTCCCGGTTTTTAGTGGGCATCCATTTTTGTCTCCGTGGCGGCATGCTTATATGCACGAGCCAGCCCAGTGGCAGGTGGTCCTGGGTCCATCTATGCTCTGAGCTGTTCAGGATGGAAGCCCTCATTCTCAAGACGAGGGCCCGGGGCTTGCAGGGTGCCAGAGATGGTGAACACAGTCAAAGCTTGGTCCAAGCTGTTAGAACCCAGGCTGCTGGAGCCCTCCAGAGGTTAGGAAGCCTCCTTAAGTTTTTGTCGTATGGCCCTTAGATATCACAAACCATTGTCATCTCTAAGACTTTTTTAAAAAAATTATTTATTTTTATTTTATGTGTGAGTGTATTGCCTGCATGTAGAGGGTGTCAGATCCTCTGGAACTAGAGTGGTTGTTAGCCACCATGTGGGTGCTGGGAATCGAACCCAGAACCTCTGGAAGAGCAGCAAGTGTTCTTAACCGCTGAACCATCTCTCCAGCTCCAAGACTTTTTTCTCCCCAAGTTCCCAGCTTTCCCCCTAATAGGAATGCATCCTAAACATCAAGAGGGCTGGACATGAAACTTCTGTCATTCTGGGTCTTGTAGTTTGTTTTTCTGGGGGCTGCTGTTCTGTGCTTTGTAGGATCCCTACCAGTGTGAAGCCACTGTCATAGACCCAAATGCTGCCAAATGTTTCCTGAGGGACACACATTTACCTGGCCATTGTTGAGAAACAGTGCTGTGGAAAAATTCAGGGGCCCCAGAGCCTGATGTGTTGGTGAACATCTGTAATCCTAGTATTCCGGTGGCTGAGGCAGGAGGATTGTTAGTTTGAGGTCAGTATGACTACAGAGTCCCTGACCAGGCTGGACTGTACAGTTACATCTTGTCTCTAAGGAAAACAAGCAAGCAAACAAACAAACCAAAAAACCCAACCAAACCAAACAGAGGCTTTTGGCTATCCCTACTACTTAACTTGAAAATAATGATAGTGGGGGCTGGAGAGATGGCTCAGCGGTTAAGAACACTGGTTGTTCTTGCAGAAGACCCGGGTTCAAGTCCCAGCACCCACATGGCAGCTGTCTGTAACTCCAGTTCCAGGGTATCTGACAGCCTTTCTTTCTTCCTCGGGCATTGCAGGACACAGGTGGGTGCACTTACCTGCATGCGGGCAATACATGAATACACATAAAACAAGAATAATAAAATATTTGTTGTTGTTGTTTTCTTTTTCTTTTTTTTTTCTTGGTTTTTTGAGACAGGGTCTCCCTGTAGCCCCAGCTGGCCTGGAACTCACTATGTAGACCAGGCTGGCCTTGATCTCACAGAGATCTGCCTCCCTCTGCCTTCCAAGTGCTGGGACTAAAGGCGTGCGCCACCACGCCCAGCTAAGAATAATCAAATATTTTTTAAAGAAAAGAATGATAGTGATGAAATTAAATTGACCTGGCAGGACATGGTGGCACTGAGGAGGCGTTGGCTTGAGGATCATGAGTTCAAGGTCATTCTCAGCCTTATGTCAAGTTGGATGCCAGATTGGCTGCATGAAACTGTCTGAGAAAAACAAAAATAAAGGGGCTGGAGAAATGGCTCAGTTGTTGGGAGCACTGACCACTCTTGCAGAAGATCTGGATTCAAATCCCACCAACCTCATGGTGCCTAACAACCATCCATAGCTCCAGTTTTAGGGAATCCAACACCCTCTTCTGGCCTCCAAGGGCATTGCACGACATGGGTACGCTTACATACATGCAGGCATAACACTTATATACGTAAAATAATAAAGTTTATAAAAAACAAAAATAATAAAAATTAAATTGGCTCTCTTGGCAGAAATAGTTCTTAGTTAATAATTCTTATTTTAGCACTTATTACTTGGTGCTATAATTATTTTTAGTATGTTTTAGTATGAAAGAAGGTCTTCAGAGTTAGAATTGTATCCTTAGCCCCAGGACAGGGTCTGACAGAGCCCTCAAAAATATCTAAACATGCCCAGTATGGTGGTGCACACCTTTAATCCCAGCACTCAGGATCTCTGTGAGTTTGAGGCCAGCCTGGTCTACATAGTGAATTTCAGGCCAGTTGGGGCTACCTAGTGGGACACTGTCTGAAAAACAAATAAACCACACACACACACAAACTAAACACAAATTAGCACCCTGAAAAAAAAATAGACTTGGAACCTAGGGCCTAGGAGTCTGGTCCCAAGGGGTCATTAAACATGTGATTCACCTTATTTATTTTCCTCACACTTACAAGAGGGACTAGCCAGGCATGATTGCCCATACCTGTACCTGTATTCCCAGCACTCAGGAGACAGAGGCAGGGGGATTACCCCAAGTTCAAGGCCAACCTGATTTGCAGAGCAAGTTCTAGGCCAGTCAGGGCTACATAATGAGACTCTTGCAAAAATAGCAAAATAAATAGGTAAAATACTCAAGACAATCCTGCCCCAGTCTCCTGACAGCTGGGATTGCAAGTGTGTGCCCCATACCTGGCTTTGCAAGCCACTGCTGAGAAACCCCACTGTAGACAAATCTAGAGGCCTCTGTGGTTGCTCGTACCTATAATCACAGTATGAAAAGAATTAGGAGCATTGTGAACCAATTGTGTCACTTTTGACTCCAGCAGGCCTGACACTGAGCCTGAGTTTACTCCCACAGTATAATGGGTCTAAAAATTCACTCTGTGAGGCTGGAGAGATGGCTCAGTGATTAAGAGAATTAGCTGTTCTTGCAGAAGACCCAGGTTTGATTCCCAGCACCCACATGGCAACTAACTATAACTCCAGTTCCAGGGTATCTGATGCCCTCTTCTGACCTCTGTGGGCATTGCATGACATGGGTGCACTTATATATACGCAGGCAATACACTTATACACATAAAATAAAAAAATATTTTTTTCTGTGAGCTGGAGCATTGGATGCGGAAGCTCTGGACTTGTGGTAGATGCCATTGTTCCAAGTGGCAGGGGCCAGCTGATGTGTTGAGAGCTAGATAAACATAGTATGACATAGCTCTGCTTGGGATCCCATGGGAATACACATGCCACCCAAACCCCACTGTACCTGGCCTCTTATGTGTATTGTTTTATTCTCGTGAGGGGTATGGAAACGAATGGTGGGTTCAGTAATTAACCCATGCTTAGTGTGTGGGGAGCCAAGAGCCACACTCAACTTTGCTAACTTTGAATCCCTGAGCACCTCACCCTGGCACCCAGAAGCTAGGCAAGCAAGGTGGGGATAAGTGAGGAGAGGAGTAGGGGACATAGTGCTACGGGATGGTGGAATTAGAAGACAGGAAGGAAATGAAAACGGCTCCTCTGGGCTGCCAAGCCTTGCAGGTATTCCCATGGTGAAGGTTCCAGAAGTTTATGAGGGATCTTGTTGCCATGGTAGGAAGCACTTTTGAGAGCTGGGCTGAGAGTGAAGAACTGAGTACAGGGGAAGGATGCAGAGGACTCTGACAAGCCTGCAGTGTCATGTGCTTGCAGGGTGTTTAGTCAGCATCACCATCCTCCTCCACTGTCCATAACTGAAAGCAGAGACAAATGGTGGGGTGGAGGGGGGCTTGGAAGGTCTCAGTCATGAGGTAGGCAGTCCTGAGATGCAGATGCATTCCTGAAGGTTAGTTTTCCGTGCCTGAGGTCTTTCTGTTCTGACTAGTAAGTGTCAGGAAGAGAGTTAGACTCACTCTGTAATGCCAAGCATAGGCCTTGCCTGGTAACCTCCTTCTACAGCTGCTTACCCCTCAAGGCCTTGTTGTCCCTCCAAACCATCCTCTCAGTGAGGAGAACTGAACAGCTAGTTAAGAAGGGAGGGACAAAATGGGGTGGGGGTGGACGCCTGCCTGCTCAGTGAGCCAACCTCTGTGGCTCTCAGTTCCTTACTCTCAGTTGGTCCCTTCACCCCTCTCAATGCTCTTACAAGGATCAAATTGTTCTGGGGATGTATCTCTGTTGGTAGAGTGCTTGCCTGGTATGCACAAAGCACTGGGTTCCATCCCCACCACTGCATAGAAAAAGCTGGACATGGTAGCACGTATCTGTCATCCCAGTGCTCTGGAGAAGGAGGCAGGAGGATCAGAAGTTTAAGGATATTATTGACTACATATCAAGTTTGAGGTTCACCTGGGTGGGCTATATGAGACCCTATCCTCCCCCGTCCCAAATGGATTAAAAGGGACAAGAGTTGTAAAAGAGGGACTGTTCTAATGTTGTAGTGTCTCTTTCATGGAACAGCAGGTGCCAAACCTGAGATACAACCCCTGCCTGACCTGCTGCCTCAGATTCCACTCTCCAGCCTTGGTCGGGTAACCTCAGGCAACTTATTTCCCCTTTCTTTTCCATGGTACAAGAGTTACACTTGAGCTGGGTGTGGTGGTGCACACTTTTAGTCCCAGCACTTGGTAGGCACAGGCAGGCAGATCTCTGTGAGTTCAAGGCCAGCCTGGTCTACATAGTGAGTTCCAGGCCGCTGGGGCTACAGGGAGACCCTGTCTCAAAAAGACCAAAAAAAAAAAAAAAAAAAAAAAAAAGTGACACTAGTACCTGCCCAAAGGATCACTGTAAGGATTCAGAGAGTCCATTCCTGTGGGTGCTGGGCATGTCTGACTGCACAGCTCCAGGCCCTTGGAATCTCAGCGGCAAGAACAGAGCATTAAACCCGAGTAGGCCCTGTGCAGCACACAGGTTGAACATCACAAGGCCTGGCCTGTACTGCAACTCAGTTCTCTGCCAGTGCTGCTCTTGTGATGCTGAGGAGCTCTGAGGTCACCACTGGGTGCCAGGATGGGTGGTAGAACAGTCTGTACTAATCAGGAGGTGAGCTGAGAGGAGAAACCCAGCGCCATGACCCTAGACCCAGCAGAAGGGGAAATTGCTGTGAAGGATGGGTCTCCAGACCTTCCAGAAGGCCAAAGCAAGAAACACACAGAGGGCTCAGAGTGTGTGGGCCTGGGCCTCAGCTGCTGGGAGGAGCAGTGCTGGCTTACACCTGGGACCAGATTCTGGTGTGGAACAAGCTTCTGATGCTGAGGCACAGAGGAGCTAGGTGGGACCCTTAGGCAAATTTGGCATGGGGTAAGGTGGGGAATCAGGATGTTGTTCCTGCCTGGAAGCATGGAGCGGGGGGGGAGAAGAGAGAGGGGGAAAGGGGACCTAGAGGGGCAGGGGCAGAGAGGTGTGACACTGTCTCCCACAATGGAGCTATGTATTTGTACATGTGGATGAGAGAAAGCCCCATGGGAAGTTAGCAGATGGGCAAGGTGGTCTTGTGAGAAAGGATAGATGATTTGTTTGTTGACTCATTTTTTTTTTGAGACAGGGTCTCACTATGTAGCCCTGGCTGGCCTTGAATTCTCAGAGATCCTCTTGTGTCTGCCTCCCAAGTCCTTGGATTAAACCACAGGTTCTATCTGAAAGTACCTTCTGCACAGGCAGGAAGTTGTCAACTTTGTTCCCATGATCGCCAGCTCCTCAGAGCCCAGTGTCCTGTAGGAGCTCAGTAAGCTGAGTGAGCAAATGAACCAGCAACCCTGATAGTTGGAACCTATGGTTGGAGTGAGTGCCAGTCAGTAGGTAAAACCTAGCCCAGGCCTGGGACCTCAGGGACACGCAGAGGTTGGGAATAGGTCAGGACCCCAGTTGCTCTGCTCATATGACTTCCGCACTTTATTGCAGTTGTCAGTGTCAAGGAACCTGAGAGTTTTCACTAGTGGGAAGTCTGCCTAGTGGAACTGGTGGATAGAGACCACAGTTCCTTAGTCGAGGCCCAGGCACTGTCCCAGCTCCTAGAGATGCCAGTTAGGACTGAGCTCCTGCTGCCCACTGTGGTCCCCAGCTCAGTGATGTTCTTTTAGCTGGCTTCCTTCCCCATTCCCACTCCTCCAACCCCTCCTGTGTCTCCCGGGGCCACTTCTACAGGAACCACCTGCATTAGCTTTTCTCCCTTTCCACTCCCAACAGTTCCTCAGCAGGGCAGCCTGGGCAGCTGAGACCTGAGGCCATGAGTACTGGGTACCTGGGAGAGAAGAGGGTGGGGAGGGACAGGAAGGAACATTCTAGGTGCCCAGGGTCTGAGTTGGCCTCTCTGTGGTCCTTGCTCCCATGTTGGGGATGAAGATACAAAGGTCAGAATTCAGACCTCATAGTTTTTTTTCATATTTTATTTATTATTTTATGTGTGTATTGCCTGCATGTAGGTAAGTGCACCCGTGTCGTGCAGTGCCTGCAGAGGACAGAAGAGGCTGTTGGATCTTCTGGAACTGGAGTTCCGGAAAGTTGTTAGCTGCCATGTGGGTGCTGGAATTTGAACCTGTGTCTTCTGCAAGAACAACCAGTGTTCTTAACCGCCGAGCCATCTCTCTAGCCCCAGACCTGGGGGTTTTACACAGTGCTGGTTGCTTCTGAGCTGGAATTCTCAGCAAGGCAGCATCCCTAGCCTCTGTCCACTAGGTGTCACTAGAAACCCTCTGCTGTTGTGACAACCACTGATACCTACCAACTTTGTCAAATGTTCCCAGATGAGAAGCAGTTTCCCCACTGCAGCTCCTGCCTGTAATGAAGATATCCAGACCAACCCTCAAAGCTGCCCAAGACTACCTGTCTGTGACCAAGGCTGCAGCAGAGTGGAACCTCTGAGCAGGGAGTCAGGACAGTCAGGGCCCTGGAGGTGTGGCCAGGAACTGCCCAAAGGCAGCAAGCAGGGTCCTTAGGCCTCCAGGTGCATCAGTGGAGGGGGTCCCCCTTCTACTTCACCCTCCTGTGCCATACCACTTTGACTCAGTGGGAGGCTGCTTACCTACGCTGACAGGGCCCAGAACTGTCCTGGGCTGAGGGTGTTCAGTGCAGCCTTGGTGACAGTGTCTGTCTGTGGACCCCAGAAAGGGACATCAAGGTGGGAGAGACAGATTCTTGTGTTTGTTTGTTGTTTGTTTTAGACAGGGTCTCTCTGTAGCCTCAACTGGCCTGGAACTTGCTATGGAAACCAGGCTGGCCTTGATCTCACAGGGATCTCCCTGCCTCTGCCTCCTGAGTGCTGGGATTAAAGATGTGCAGAGACAGTCTCTGGACTTCTTATTTCAATTTTGCAAAAGAAGTAGTGAGAGAAAATCTAGACTGATTAAGCATCTAGTTTGAGACGGGGACAGGAGGCTGGAGAGATGGCTCAGTGGTTAAGAGCACTGGTTGCTATTCCAGAGAACCCAGGTTTGGTTCCCAGCATCCATGTGATGGCTAACAACTGTCTATTCTTTTTTTTTAAAGTATTTTATTATTTTTATTTGTGTGAGTGTATTACCTGCATGTAGATAAGTGCACCCGTGTCGTGCAATGCCTGCGGAGGACAGAAGAGGCTGTCAGATCCCCTGGAACTGGAGCTACGGACAGTTGTTAGCTGCCATGTGGGTGCTGGGATTCAAACTTGGGTCTTCTGCAAGAACATCCAGTGTTCTTAACCGCTGAGCCATCTCTCCAGCCCCCAACTGTCTATTCTTTAGCCTCTGTGGGTATTGCACACATGGATATACTTATATACATGCAGGCAAAATACTCATATATATAAAATAAAATAAATAAAATAATTTAAGAGAAGATGACAGACTGTAAATAGTCTCACCTGTAGTCATACAGCATGATGATGAAGAGCGTGGGCCCAGACTGCCTAGTTCAAATCCTGCCTTCACCACTACACATCTGTGTGATATCAGGAGGTTACCTTGCCTTCTCTGTACCTTAGTTGCTATTGTCTTGAAAACCAGAATGAAAACTAGTACCTACATGTGAGTGCTGCTGGTGAATGCACTGAGTGACAAAGTATTCAGGTGGCAGAGTCCTCAGCTAGCAAACATGATGCCCTGGCTTCCATCCCCAGCACGACAGAAAACCAGGTATGGTGGCACACACCTGAAATGCCAGCACTTGGGAGGTGGAGGCAGGAAGGTCAGGAGTTCAAGGTAATCTTCCACTACATATTGAGTTCAAGCCAGCTTCAGCTAATAGAAGTAGGTAGTGGACATAGACTCCCCAGTGCCCACCATCTGATGTGAATGCTGAGCAGGAGCTAGGGACAGCCAGGGGCTCCTTTCCCATACCATCTCAGCTGATGAAGGATAGTCCTGGCTTGGGTGCCATGGCAGCAACTAGTGGAGGGGACAAACTCACCAACAGACAGCCACCTCAGTAGCCCAGGAGAGGAGAGAGGATGTCAAGGAATCTGCCCCTGAGTGGATGCTATGGGCAGGGCCAGGTGCCTAGGGCACACTGAGGACAAGCGACCAGGCCTACTGCCTACTCCCCAGTAAGACCAGGCCTTTTCCCAGGGATCTTCCTACTCTAACTTGGGGGCATGTGGAGTAGGTAGGAATGAGGATCTGGGGTCGTGGGACTGCAAATAGCACTTTGGAGCACTGTCTTGAGTAGCTTTACTCTTCCTGGGCCTCAGTTTCTTCACAAGATGAGAAGGTTGGGTTGCATGGTCTGTGTCTGCCTCATGTTGGCCTCTGATGTCAAATGCTTTGTGGGCTGACAAGATGGCTTAGCAGGTCAGGGCACATTTACCAAGCCTGATGACCTGGGTTTGATCCCCAGAATCCACGTGGTAGAAGGAGAGAACCATCTCCTGTAAGTTGTCCTCCAACTTCCATATGTGCAATGTCTGAAGGTGCTTTTTATCGCTACAGGTGTGCTGGTAAATATCCTGTAATACACAGGACAGCCCCCCACAACAAAGAATTATCCTTCTCAATCATTAGTTATATCAGCAAACCCTGCTTTAGGCCAGACATAGCTCAGTGGGTGAAAATGCCTGTCACCAAGTCTGAAGACCTGAGTTCGATCTCTGGGACATACATTGCATAAGGAGAGAACTGACTCCTGAAAGTTGTCCTCTCATCTCCACACATGTGCTCATGCGTTCATATACACTAAATGATTATTTTTAAAAAGAGTCTTTTTGCTGGGCTTGGTGGTACATGCCTTTGATTCCTGCACTCAGGAGGCAGAAGCAGGTGGATCCCTGTGAGTTCAAGGCTAGCCTGGTCTACATAGCAAGTTCCAAGCCAGCTGAGGCTACAGGGAGACCCTGCCTCAAACAGCAAATGAAATAATAAATAAATAAGTAAATTCCAGAGGGATTGCTTTCAAATGTAGGCACATGTTGACAAGGTTAAGTGCTGTGGATAAGGCCATGTATTCAATTAATCTGTGCTGGCCATAGAAAAAAAGCAAGTTCCCATTTTCAAAATGAATTAAATACTGAAAGTGCCTGTCAATAAACATGACCAATGAGAAGATCTTATACTTTCACACAGCAAGCTTTGTTGATACTGTTCATTATCTGCCAAGCTGTATTCCACTGGTCCACTGGGGTCATAAATGTTACACATGCATACACCCACACACTCCAGATGCACTAAGTCACAGGTAAATGTGTGATACAGTCAGGCCCCAGGGCTCCTGTCTCCTCTGCCCAGCTTTTTTTTGGTCTACATAGGATAGACCATGATCTCAGTCATCTGCCTTCCCTCTCACCCTAGGCCTCACCTGTTCCAGATCCCAGCTCTCCTGGAGAGAGGGAGGCAACATCAGGGTTCCCTGGAGTCCACTCACAGGCAGAACCATGTCAGTCCAGGTGCCAGACCCTCCCTGAGCCAGCAGCTCTGCCTCCAGGCACGGCCACCCCTCCTGGGACCCTGGAACAGACTCCCTTGCTGCTGGAGTTGCAGAAGCTGCCAGGATTGGCCAACACTGACTTGAGTGCCCCTAATCCCAGTATCCAGGTGAGACTACAGAGGGATTTTATTGGTCCAGGGGACCTCTAGAGAGGTGCTAGGATGGTGACTCGGCCCCATCCTCATTCCTCAGCTGGCTGTGTGCTCCCTGAGCTTCTGTGGAAAGAGCACATGTTACTCCACCTATCAGAGAGTCTGTTGGTTCTGGAGCTTTGTCCCCTGATGTAGCAGGGATCAAAGGCACCAAACTGACAGGGTATTCTAAGGATTGAGTAACTGGACCTTCACTACAGGGGATCCTGGAATGTGGTGGAGGCCTGCCTCAGCCTCTGACTACAAGCAGGAAAGAGGCTCAGTTCAGAATAGGATAGGATGGGGCATCCTTGGTCTCCAAGAAAGAAAGACAGAAATCCAGTGGTGTCCTGCACTGACTGGCTGAATTGCCAAGGATAGCAGAAAGCTTTCACCAAAAAGATTGAAAAAGCATAGAACAGTCTACAATTGTTTTAAAATCTCCTATAGATGATAGATAAATAGATAGATAGATAGATAGATAGATAGATGATAGATAGATGTAGATAAACATGCACACATACATACAAAAAATTCAAAGTATGTCTGTGATAGATTACAGTTGATACTTTACTTTTTTAGTTTCTTTTTATTTTTCTGTTTTCCCTTCAAATTTTGTTCTCTGACCTCCCATCATTTGACAGTGTCCAAGAATAATGGATTTATTTATTTACATACATTTATTTATTTATTTATTTATTTATTTATTTATTTATTTATTTATTGGTATTTTTGAAACAGGTCTCCCTGTAGCCCCAGCTGGCCTGGAACTTGCTCTGTAGACCAGGCTGGCCTTGAACTCACAGAGATCCGCCTGCCTCTGCCTCCCAAGTGCTGTGACTACAGGTGTGTGTGCCACCACACCCTATGGAGGAGGAAGGGGGAGGAGGAGGAGGAGGAGGTTGTTTTTAAAGTTCACTTTCATGGCAGTGCTTTCATTTTACGTGATTAGTGAGATTGGAGCGCTTCTGAGGGTGACCTGAGGACCTGATGTTGGACATGCTTATCAAACCCTGCTATGGGCTATTCCTGGTCACTGAGGCCAGGCAGCCCATGTGTGGTGGAAGCAAAATTCAAAACAGCTTCTCCTAAATTACTGGGTCTCAGCTTTGGTACCTGCTGACTTTGCCTCAGCACAGTTACATCCAAGTGATTCTGACATGCGGAAAGTCTTATCCTGTGCCCTCTGTTCCCTGAGAGGCCCAGGTCAGGGAGGGAAGATAGCAGGGTGACTGGGCTGGGTTTAGCTTATGGCTCCAACCCATCTTCTCCCCTCCAGAGCCCTGCTCTGACCCACCTTCCCTGCCATATCCTTCCACAGGTGACCATCGAGGTGGTACAAGACCCCCAGGCTGAGGTAGAGATAGACCTGCTTACTGAGCCCAGCCCAGCAATCTCTGGCCCCTGGGCACCCCTAGCTGGCTGTCCAACAAGGAGCTCTTCTGGCCACTCTTCTGGAGATATCAGGAGGGTAAAGAAGGGGGCACCAGCCTCAAGGGCACAACAGGAGAAGAGGAGGAGGCAGAAGAAGAGAAGGAGGATTATACTGCAGAGTACAGTGAAGGTCAGGACCAAGAGGGTGATGAAGAGGATGAGGAGGAAGAGCCTTGGTCTGGTGGGGCCACAGACAGCTGGAACCAGAGCTGGCTGGGCCCCCAGAACTGGGACTTCGAGGATTCAAACAGCCATGGTGAGCGTCCTGGCTTGGCATCCCTATCTGCTGCCCTGCTAGGTCCTGAGTGGAAACAAGGGGTGTGTGTGTATGTGTGTGCGTGTGTGTGGAGGGGGTTGCTCCCAGGCAGAGAGAGCTGGGCAAGCTAGGAGCCTAGTCCTGTGCAGACACCGTTATCAGCTCAAAAGTGATACTGCCTGCAGCTTACAAGGTTGGGTTTCTTTTCAGCAATATTTGACTTTCACAGTGTCCTGAGATCCTCTAAGAAAAAGATATTTAACTGTATAAATATTTCATATTTATTGCTTTCCTTCTTTTGAGACAGGATCGCCCTGTAGCTCCAGCTGACCTGGAACTTGCTATGTAGAGACCAGACTGGACTTGAACTCAGAGATCTGCCTGCCACCACGCCTAGCTTATTTATTGTTTTTTAAAAAAGCTGAAAAAAAATATTGAAAGTCTTAACACAGTGGACCTCATTTTAGATTGTGGAGGACCATTTTTATGCTTCTTGTTTCCTCTGGGTGCAGTTGCATTCACTTTCCCCACAGCCCTGGGATCTTGTCACCAGATTAAGGCACCAGGGATTAAGATTAAGTCATGAGGCGCTCTTCCCAGTTTCCCAAACTAATGTAAACAGACCCAGGCCTATCAGCTTTTCTCCCATTCATTGTTCTGAAACTCTTGGTGTCAGCTGGCCTGCTGTGACCTGCCTGCTGGAAGCCAGGAGTGAACTGGTGTGCCAGGCCTGTGGGCCCAAGTGTTTGAGCATCCTCAGATCAGGATCAGGGAAATCTTTAATAAACCCAGAACAAGGAAAGTATTTCCACCTTTGATTTATTACTATTATTATTATTATTATTATAGAGTCTCCTGTAGCACAAACTGGCCTCAAACTTACCATGTAGCCAAAGATGACCTTGAATTTCTGATCCTCCTACCCCTACATCCCCAGTGCTAGGATTACAGGTATTCACCACTGTATATGTGGTGCTGGGATTTGAACTAGGGCTGCTTCATGTTAAACAAACTCTAACTCTTCATTTTGATGGACCTAAAGACTCTCAGAAATGTAAGGGGACTTTCCCAAGCTCAAACTGATAGTGGGTCAGGTGGCTTCCAGCCCCAGGTATCTTTCCTTATTCATCCTTATGCTAACATAGGAAGTGGCTAGAGTTTGTACTGTCTGCATAGGGCCTCCTGATGCATTTGCACTGGTTACTCACTGGCAAGGGATAAAGGCGTGATTTTTGCTAATTTGCCCCAGTGTGTCCTGGGGCCTGAGTGTACTCATCCTGGCCCCCTGCCTTGACCCAGACTATGAGCTTCAGGAGGAGTGGAGCTCCTTGTCTCCCTGCAGTGGGAGTTGCAGCAGCGGCAGCCAGCGGAGAACTCGGACCTGCGGCTATGCCTGCACTGCCACTGAGTCCCGGGTCTGTGACCTGCCCCCCTGTCCTGGTGAGATGAGCTCCAGTCCCTGCATGGGAGTAGCTAATATGGCTCAGGCTCTGGGCTTAGGTCCCCTGGGAATGTGAAAATGGGGTGAGTGTAGGAGGGAGGGTTTGGGAGAGGGGTATAGGAAGCTCACAAATATGGTGGTCCTGTCTCAGGCCCTTCCCAGCTGCTGTGGGCAATGAGAGCCTAGTAAGGGCTGGGCTTCCCCATCAGGAGCACAGAGGTGCCCTGGGGCGCCACCAGCCTGGCCTCCTCTCTTCCCAAAGGCACCGAGGACAAGCACACCTTGGGCTTCCCTGCTGAAGGGTGGCAGCCTCTAGCCCACAATGCTACAGATATGCTTGATCCAGGTCAGTGGTGGGCTAGACCTTGCTGCTGGGGGTTTGGGGAGCCCCTCTCTTGGGAGGCAGGGCATCACTGCACAGCAGGAGTCACTGAGCCCATCTTTCTGAGGGAGGGCTTATAGGTCCTGCCAGGCCTGGTGGCCTTGCCTAGCTCTAGGTTCCTACCAGGAAAGGGGTCTTGATGGGTACCACAGAGTTAGGAGATGATGTGGGGGTGGTAGGACTTCCTTTCTTGGTCACTCTTTGGAGGTCCCTTACTGGCTCTGTCTGGGGAAGTGCCTGCCATAATAGGCTGGGTTCAGAAGCCCAGGGCTGCTCACTGCAGGCCCCAGAGTGTGGGCTATGGTTTGCCAGTAACATTCCTTGTCCGTGTCCCTAGACCTCATGTGCCCTCCTAGAAGGTGTTGCTAAGAATAAGCTCTGAAAAGTGAAATGGAAGCTTCCTGAGCCTTTGTCATACACTGAGATTTGAACCCATGTTCAAATCCTGGAGAAGGCCCAGCACTTTTCCTCAAAGAGCTCAGGTCTCAATGGGGACACATGGTCTGCATGAGCACAGCACTCCAAAGCAGGCCCTGAAGGTCTGACAGGCCAAAGGAAGGGGCAGTTTGTTCTTTGTGGCCAGAATCTGAGGTCACATTTTTTCAGGAAGAAAGGAGGAGGCAACAGAGATCAGGAGCCATAGGAGGCTCAAAAGAGCTGAGCAATTCACCAAAGACCCCTGGTCTAAGAAAGGTAGTTAAGAAAAATGGTACCACACTAGGGAGGCAGAGGTGAGATTAGGAGTTCAAGGCTAGCTAGCCTTGGCTACACAAGACCTTGTCTTAAAAAAAGGAGAGTTTCTAGGTGTGGTGGCACATGCCTTTAAGACCAGCACTTGGGAGGCAGAGGCAGGTGGATCTCTGTAGACTGAGGCCAGTCTGGTCTACATAGTGAGTTCCAGGGCAGCTGGAATTCAGAGAAAACTACAGAAAGACCCTGTTAAAAAGAGAGAGGAAGGGGCTGGAAAGATAGCTCAGTGGTTAAGAGTAGGTGATGCTTTTGCAGAGGATCTGAGTTTGGTTCCTAGCTCCCACATCGGGCAGTTCACAACTGCCTGTAACTCCAGCCCCAGGGGATCTGATGCTTTTGGCCTCGGCTGGCACCTGCCCTCATGAGCACATACCTACACTCATATGTACACACATATACATAATTCAAAAGAAAATATTTCTTCACAAAGGAGAGGGGGAGAGGAAGAGAGGAGAGAGGAGAAAGAGAGAGGAAAAATAGAGGAAAGAGAGAAAGGAAAGAGAGGAGAGAGCACAAACAGCCGTTCCTGGCTGGAGATGTAGTTCAGTTGATAGAAAGCTTGCCTAGCATGCATGGAGCCCTGGGTTCAATCCCAGCAAGGTATAAATCCCAGAGTGATAGTTCATGCCTATAATCTCTGGACTTGGGAGGGGGAGGCAGGGGAATCAGAAGTTCAAAGTTCCTCAGCTACATAGTAAGTTTAAGGCCAACCTAGGATACATGAGACCCTGTCTCAAAGAATAAAAACCACAAACTTTTGTGCCTTCCCTGTCCCCACTTATCCAAGCCCTTTCCTGTGATCCCAGGCTTTTTATCACAGTGCACCTAAGAAGATGATGCCCAGCAGGGGGACTGCCAGCCCAAACCCAGTGTCCCTTCTGAGCCACAGCCTCTTGCTTCAGGCACTTGGGTGGTATGGGGGCGGTCACCCTTATCTGCCCCGTAGCTTTCTTGAGTCTTTTCACCTCTGCTCTAAAAACCCCTGTAAGCCATGCTTGGTCTGGGACTGCCTCTTCCCATCACCAACCTTCTCCCTCTGGTGGGACTCGCAGGCACTCTGACCAGCTGCCCTCCTGTACTTCCTTGCCCTCTGCAGATGTGGACAGCTGTGAGAAGTGGCTGAACTGCAAGAGTGACTTCCTAGCCAAGTACCTGAGCCAGGTGCTGCGAGATCTCCCCAGCTGCCCATGTGCATACCCACTGGAGGCTGTGTACAGTGCTGTGAGCCTGCAGGATGAAAACCAGGGCCGCAGTTTCCAGTGGCGGGATGCCAGTGGCCCCCGGGAGCACCTGGACGTCTACCAGCCCACTGCAGGCTTCTGCCTACGCTCCATGTTGTCAGGTGAGAGCAGCACGCTGGCTGCTCAGCACTGCTGTTACGATGAAGGCAGCAGGTTGCTGACCCGTGGCAAAGGGGCCGGGGCTCCTGATCTGGTTAGCACTGACTTTTCACCTGAGCTGCACTTCAAAGTGGACACACTGCCCTGGATCCTGTGTAAGGGGGACTGGAGCCGCTACCACACTGTGCGACCCCCCAACAATGGCCGGGCCTGTGTCGACAACCCTCCAGAGGAGGAGTACTTGGCCCAACTTCAGGAGGCCAAAGAATACTGATGATGGTCTGGAGAATGAACTTTGTGCCCTTCACCCTGCCCTGGCCCAGACTGGGCAAGTGTTCGGGTTTACCCGAGAGGCCATCTGGTTTGCATGTGTCCGGAACGCAGGTGAGCCCCAGGTATCTGGGGATTGCCCAGATTGGAGGGTGTGTCAGGTGCATGTCTCCTGGAGTGTATTGGGAATGTGTTATTCTCTGTATCTCTGCAGGGCAGAAGCTGTCCAGTTTGGCCACAAGCTCTTCTCCCTTTCCTGCAGAGGGAGGCCCTTCTGCCTTGGCTTTGCTCAGGGTTGAACCAGATATTCCAGATGCGTCCCAATTCCCAGGACTTGCTATGAATCCTTCAGCTCCCTCTCCATGGCCAGCTGAAGAGAAGCATGGGGTGGGGGGCAAGAAGGGTTAGTCCTTTCATCTCATCCTGCAGCTGTTATTTGCTGGGCTGGCAAGAACCAGGGTGACCACCCCTCCTGTCTCTGGATGGTGCACAGCCTCTCTTGCCCTGTCCCCTGCTGTGAGACCATCAGTGGACTTGAGAGGACAGCTAGGCTGAGATTGACTCCAGCAGAGGACCTCCAGCTGCTTCTGGTCTTTTCCTTTGTTCAGCCCTCAGATAGGAGGAGTGTGCAGGTTGCCACTGCTTGGTCACAGCAGCCAGGCTTGGAATGGGCTTAGAAATAGGGGTGGGCTCAGGAGGGTGTCATGTGCCTGAAGTGACTGTTACCCAGAAATGTGGCAGGGCAAAATGTTCCAATGTGTGATGTGGGCCACTGCTGTGCTATGAGTAACCAAACCGATGAGCCTCTTTGAGCTCCCACATGCCACTGAATGTACTGGACTGATGGAGTTGGGAGGAGATGTGTGTATTGGCTCACAGCAGACCTGTGCCTCTTCCCAGCCACCTCTCATCTCCCTGCCCCCCTCACCCCCAACTACATTCATACCTTATCTGGAGTTGAAATGTTGAAGAGTCAATGTTTTTCTCTGTTCATAAGTCCTCCAAAATATTAGGGACTTGAATCCTAGTCCCTTCCACAGCTGCCCTGAAGCTCTCTGGGATCCTCAGCAATAAAGTACTTTATTTTCATATTCCGTCTGATATGGGATTTGGGGCCTGGCAGAGCAGAGGGACAGATCACAATCAAGGTCAAGCTCCCATAAGTTGTACTTGTGATCACCAAGCCCACAGACCCCCTCATTTCCTTTTTCTGAACCAGCTACCCCACAGGGCTTCTGGGACACAGGGGCTGGACCACAACCATCAGTTTTCCCTGCTCACACTCAGAAAGGGCCTTGCCTTTAGCCTGACTAGCTGGCTAGACCTCAGAGGCATAGAACTCTGAATTTAAGTAACAAGATAAACTGCATATTCTCCACAAGGAAGTAGTCCCACTTCTCTAAGTAATTGGCTTGGAGGGGATCTGACCAGATGTCTGGAGGACCACATGAAATAAAAGGTGCACCTGTGCTCTCCTTTATCCAACTGTGTCATCCCAGACATTAGGGGAAGGACAGAGATATGTCAGGACATGTCTTAATCTGGGTTTCAACAATAGCCTAAATATATTTTGGTACAAATAGAATATTAGTGGGTCAGAGAAGGTGAGCTCTCAATTCACAAGGTGGGGCCAGGTTCACTCCTTTTGCCTGATCTAGTTCAATAATAACACAGGTACCAGACATGGTGGGACATGCCTATAATCTTAACCTTTGGAAGGCTGAGGCAGGAGGGTTGTGAGTTTTTAACCAGCTCCTTCCCTGAAGGTCAAAGTAACTTGACAACTGTCTGTAGACCAGATGACCTCAGAAGTATGGAGACATTGGCCCATCATGTTCTAATAAAATGAAATTCCTTTAGGGACCATTGGTAAATCCACTACTCTGCAGGGAGATTGGAGTTTGTCATGAAGAAGGTTATTGCTGTTGGTAACTCCAGAGCCTGAAGGGACTAGGGGGCAGAATGCACCTGTGCTTCGAGGATCTCCCAGGTTCATGATCCTCCCGCGGGGAGATATGGCCTCCAGGCTGGATATACTGCTTGGAAGCAGGCTCAGGAGGACCAGGGAGCGAGCAGACCAGGTGAGAGAGGTAGACAGAAGGGACCTGAGAGCAGCTTGCATTACACAGTGAGACTGTCTTAAATAAAGCAACAGAACTTTGTTTATATATACATAGCTCAGTGGTAGAGTACATGCCTAGCATATATGAGACCCTGGGTTCAATCCCCGGTAACAAATATGGGGGGCGGGGGCATGTTTTATCTTTTTTTTTTTTCTTTTTTTTTTTTTTTTTCTGTTTTTTTTTTTTAATTTATTTTAGACTAGAGTCTCTCTGGGTTGTCTAGGTTGGCCTCTTGACTCCTGAGCTCAAATGATCCTGTCTCAGTCTCCCAAGTAGCTGGGACTACAGGCATGCACTACCACATTCTACTTGTTTTAATTAACTTTCAGCAGAAAATTTTAAATTTTATTTATTTTTTAATTTTTTTTATTGTTTTTTATTTTTTATTTTTGTCTTTTTGAGACAGGCTCTCCCTGTAGCCCCAGCTGTCCTGGAACTCACTATGTAGACCAGGCTGGCCTTGAACTCACAGAGATCCACCTGCCTCTGCCTCCCAAGTGCTGGGATTAAAGGCGTGTGGCACCATGCCAGGCCTATTTTTTTAATTTTATGTGTATGTGTGTATTGCCTGCATGTAGATAAGTGCACCTGTGTTGCGCAATGCCTTCGGAGGTCAGAAGAGGCTGTTGGATCCCCTGGGACTGGAGTTACAGATAGTTGTTAGCTGCCATATGGGTGCTGGGATTCGAACTTGGGTCTTCTCCAAGAACAACCAGTGTTCTTAACCGCTGAGCCATCTCTCCAGCCCCCTTAGCAGAAAATTTTAAAAATAAAGTAGAAACATCCTGGAGACTCTTCAGAAGCAGAGTTCCCCTCCTTTCTAATAGATCTTATTCTGGGACTTAAACACATGGTCTAAATTTAACCAATACCTAATGGTTGCCTATTGCCCAAACTGATTTTAAGCGGCCCCATTTAAAATGTGTAATCTAAGTGCTGCACTAAACTGCTACCATGCCAGGCCACAGGTGAGCGAAACTAAAGAGGGGTGGTTAGGAGTGGGGGTGGGAGCAGGTCAGCTATGAAATAGTGTTTATTCAAGTTATGCAAAGGAGAAAGAGACCCTGTGCAGGTGGCTGCAGGCTTAGGAACACCTGTGTGGGAGAAGCACGAATGGAGGGTCATTGAACCTGGAAAAGGGAGGGTTTAGGAGTAGATAGTATCGGATCCTTGAAATCAGAGGGCCTCACCTCCCCAACAGGACCTAGTGTCATTCACCCATCTGACTCAACCAGCATGAGTGCACCCAGCATGAATACCACCTCTGTGAACACCACTGCTGTTTCTACTTAAATGGCGGCTCCAGCCACCCAGGTGTTTTCCCACCTTCCCTCTCTGGCTTTCTTCATACAGGCCCCCAGGCTAGGCAAGACTGATCAAATTGAAAACCAATAGCACAAACCTGCCAGAGCCTGCTGACCTGTGTCCTGCAAAATGGGATGTTTCTGGTTCCCCTCTACTCAAGAAAGGGCTGTGATATGCTTCTTTGCTCCATCACTGTTAGATTTTCCTCACGCTGGAGTGTTTCTGAAAATGCAACCCTGGTATCAGTCATTTGGGATACTAAGATGCAAGAGCATGAGACACATGTCCACATTTAATAAGAATCTCTGTAGGGGTGAGGTCTGTGCTCAAGAGGGTCCCCTAGATGGCCGAGGCATGAACCATTGTGAGGTATGCAATTTGAACTAAACCAGTGTTTCACAGTATCCGTTTTGATTTTAAGGGGAAATACCTGGGGGTGGTTGGGAGTTCCAGAAATAGGCAGGTACTAAACACCATCAGGTGCTGCCAGTGCTGTGAAAGAATTTCTTTTTTTGTTTGAAACAGGGTCTCATTTTGTAGCTCAGGCTAACCTGGTACTTACTATATAGACCAGACTGGCCGAGAATTTGTGGTAATCTTCCTGCCTCTGCCTCTTGGGTGCTGGGATTACAGGTGTGTACCACCACACCACAATGCATATATCACCCTGTTATACCCATTTTATAGATAAGTCCGTTTCTACTTCAGCATGTTGGGCTCTGATGGCTAACTGAAATGTTATCAGTGAGATGGCAATGAAGGGGGATACAAAGGTCACAGGACAGGCACTCCAGGTACCAGACACTTAAAAATACTCCAAGCAGCTGGGCGTGGTGGCACATGCCTGGAGTCCCAGCACCTGGGAGGCAGAGGCAGGCGGATATCTGAGTTCAAGGCCAGCCTGGTCTACATAGTGAGTTCCAGGACAGCTGGGGCTACAGGGAGACCCTGTCTCAAAAAGACAAAAAAAAACAACCCAAAAAACAAAAAAACTCCAAGCATCACTGGGGAGTTTACTGATCCGGTGCGTGCCTGCTGCCCCCTTCCCAGGTTGTAGCCTCCATCTGGTCAAATTGGTGACTTTTTTCAGTTTATAGAGGAAATCTAAGACTTTCATCTCTTTGGTTCATAAAAGTATGTTATTTTTGCTGGGCGTGGTGGCACATGCCTTTAGTACCAGCACTCTTGGGAGGCAGAGGCAGGTGGATCTCTGAGTTCGAGGTCAGCTGGTCTCTGTAGCAAATCCAGGCCAGCTGTGGCTACAGGGAGAGTCTCAAAAAGACCAAAAAAACCGGAATGAAAACCCATCCTCCAACTCCAAAATGCTCAATTTCTTCCTCTTTGTGGGTGTGGGAGGGGTGGTGGTGGTTACTAAGAGGCCTGGAACTTTCTACTCCAGGAGGGATACTTAATATACAGAGATGCAGCAGCTTCTCCTTGGGGATGAACCCAGGGCAGTGGATATCAGGTTTGACTCAAGCACCTGCTTTGTGGTTACAGCCTGCTCCAAATTCCAACTCAGTTCAGTATCAGCTGTGGATCTGGGCTGCTAACTTAAGAAATCAGAGGCAAATACACAATATAGTAAGTACACATTTAAAAATCACCTGTGG